ACCCACCGCCAACTCTTGGGCTACTCTTTTACCAACTTGTAGGCCTGCTTTACATTAGATTCTGTGCTATTTCTGTATTGATTTTAAATAAAGAAACCGAATTGGCTAGATATGCTTTTTATGGATGGATAAAATGTTGCTTCTATGATTGATATACGAAGCACGTGACATAAATTATGTGCCGGTGGCGCACTCTGGTAGTGATATAAATCAACTTGAGTGTATGAAACGCTTCTTTTTCACGAGGTTTTTCCTATACAAAATTCATAAAAATATAACCAACACGGATGGACATACAGTCTCAGTACACTAAAAAAATTGGTACAGCTTGGTGTAAGATACATCATTTTAGCCTCCTCTCGAAGGCTTATAACACTAAAAACTGAATTTCGATACACGTGTTGAGCACAGCACAGATAGCCCATTGTGTAACGTTGTGCTTAATACCACGCTTTTTTGGTGTTGAAACTACGTACGTGTTCTAATACATCAATGGAGCTTCATTATACTAAGTTTTCCTGCTGCTTATGCCTCTGTTGGGGAACTAGGAAACTCTTATGTCCGAGTTTTGGAAATTTGTACTTTTATCTAATGTTTTTCATGAGGGAATGGAAAATTCTGAACTTCTATGAAACGCTATATATTTATTCTAAGAACTTAAGAGCGAAATACAGAAGAATATATAACGCTATGTATACCACACTATATCTATCATATCCAGTGCCGACGAGGCCTTTCGCTTATTACCAGAGCTCACCAGGCCGGCTGAGATACGTATAGAAAATTAGCTATGTCCAGTGCAGACGGAAGAATGAATGGTATACACACACACTCACACACACATACCATTTTTTCCCGAAGAAGCAGCGTTTCGGTAAGAACTTCTTTTGAGCAGCTCGCACTGTGGGTCCTTCGCAATAGTCGCGAAATTTTCCCTCCCGTGGCTTTGGAAGAGGAAGCAGATCCAGTCGCTCCCTCTAGCGGTTTGTTATCGCCACTGAGTTTGTTAGTTCTGTCACGTTTGTCGTGTATTGCACATGAGCAGTTAGTACCGAAGTCCAAACAAGACCCACGCTCGCTATAACTGGTCAGTTGGTCAGTGCTTAGGCTTCCAGAAATTCGTAACTTTCTTCCTGCCCACTGGTGGTCCATATGAGTCACGATTTCTGTATTTTCAACATTAATTTGAGTGTCTTCTGGACTCATGGAACACTTTTGCCTAAACTCGAAAGCCAGTCCACAACTATTATAGGATGGCGTATTTCCCATACTGCCTGATGGCCATGATGGACTACTACTCTCGTCTTCGGCGCTTTCCTCACACTCAAGGATACTATCATCTCTGTAGTCTGGTTCGGGTTTACGGCGCATAGATTTTACGTCATCTCGCGAAAGAAGTCCCAAAGCCAAATGTTCGTCCGCATGATCACGCATGTATCGTTCCATAGCAGCCAAGTCCCATCGTTTAGCACGATCTTCTCTATCATCCACTAAAACTCCCTAAAATTGAAACAAAAAACAACATTAATTTAAATCCAACAGAGCAGAAACAAACACATCGTTCAGTACGATATTCTATATCATCCAATAATTATCTCTAAAATTGTAAAATCAACAACATCAACAACATTAATTTAAATCCAACAGAACAGAAACAAACACATCGTTCAGTACGATATTCTATATCATCCAATAATTATCTCTAAAATTGTAAAACCAACAACATTAATTTAAATCCAACAGAACAGAAACAAACACATCGTTCAGTACGATATTCTATATCATCCAATAATTATATCTAAAATTGTAAAACCAACAACATTAATTTAAATCCAACAGAACAGAAACAAACACATCGTTCAGTACGATATTCTATATCATCCAATAATT